CAGTGGTCATATTGTTATGGCTGGTGTATAAGAAAATATCTAAAAGCAGATTCTGTTGAAAGAAAATATCTGAATAAAAGATATAGATATAGATAAAGATGAGGTCTATTGCGTACCAGAGCTGGCTCTCAATCCACTGGGCCAGGTAGTGTCGCACCTCGATGGGGAAATGCTGGCCGTACAGCGCCTGCATCTGGTGCAACGCCTCACCCTGCAGTTGCTGGGCCTGGATCCACATTGCCATGGTGCTCCTGTGGAAGCAGGAGGATGGCAGGAGAAGAAGCCAGGAAAAGGTTGAGGGAGAACGGAAAGGAACAGCATTTAGAATCGATACACACCAGCGATGACGTTTGGCTCTTTGTGAGTCTACCAATTGCAGCTGATCACGAGCGCGACAAGAGCTACCACGCTTGTTAAGTCCATTAAAGCAATGTAGGCATCGTATAATCAGCTCCATTTATTATCTATAATTTCTTTATCAGAACAATACAGGAAAATATAAATTTCCCATTAACCTATGTGTGATCATGCAGCCCTTGTCCCACTTGTGATTGTACTGCCCCTAGATTTGAGAAACACTGGTTTATTTACTAATGTAGCTAACAGTCCCAATCAGATAAACAGACAAAAACCCATGGTACAAAACTTTAAAAAAGATTACCAACAAGTCCAGCATGGCTACAGAGCATTGCCGAGGTGCCATTGAGCAAGTCACCTAACCCCTAACTGCTCCCGGAGCACAGCTATGTGTCAATGCATCACTCCACCATCTCTACATAATTGCATGTCTATAAACCCTGTGTGTGCATGATTGTATTTCGAGCCTATGTGTGTGTAAAAAAGAATTTCACCATTGGGGATTAATAAATAAATATCTTCTTCTTCGATTCTGAAACACTCCTGGTGGGGTACGAAGCCACATGGAGACCGGAACAGGACAGGGCTGCGTGCCTGCTGGACTGAAGGGGTTACAGCTTTCACTAATACAGTTTCAATGTCTGTATCTGTATGAAAAATTCATAAATATTATTTAATTACCGTTTCCCATAAAGTTATATTGTGAAAGAAGCAGTTGTAAAACAGTGGATATTTTTTCCCATCGCTGTATCCAACTTTCTTTATACATCCATGGACCTGCAGTATGTGTAGATATCTACAATATACAACAATCATTCTTATTTGCAGGTGAACATGCACTAATGGAAACATAGCAATGCATATTATACACACTGGATCTTTCAGGCTTTCATTGTATTGGTTTTATTAAAGCTAACTAAAGCCGACACACACAGGTAGAGGTAAGGCAAGTGTGTCGCGGGCGTTAGCCCCAGCACTTGTCAACTCCTAGAAACGCCCCTGCCATCAGACACTTTTCGATCTCGGCTTCACTCGATTATATGTAGCAAACTTACAAATAGCGACCTCTGGGTATTGCCTAACAGATGTAACGTTTCACACGCTGGGTGTGAAGGTGGTAAATTTAAGTTACTTTGCTGTGACCAGACAGCGTAACATTAGCTAAGCTAGCGAAGGTAGGCTATTCTACTAGCTAGCATAGTAGGAAAGCTCACTGATACAGCACAACTTCACTAACATGCGCCACAAGTAGTTAACAGCTAACGTTAGTTAGTTTACGTCTAAACTCACCTTTTAAGAGACTGCAGCACACCTTACAGCAACACCATGGACGAGCAGCGCACAGTACACACACACACACACAACTTTTAAACCTAACACAGGTTAGTTGACGTACAAGTCACATAGCCAACTACTTTAACGCCTTCTGGTTTCTGGTTTCTGGTTTCTGGCAAAGCAGCTGTTGTTCACCAGCACCAAGCCAATGAATGTTAAAGACAGCTTCCGATTTTAAATTTCAAAATAAAAATCTTAATGAACCACAGTGATATGTCTAATCACTTTATTAGCAGGTGACTATCCTTTTTTATATCTAGTCTAATCTGTATGTGATAGACTACATGCATAAAAGAAATGTAAGAGAAATCTGTTGGGGTTTTTGACGAAAAATGTTGATAATTATGTTTACTTTTTTAATTTCTCCATTTCCGGTCGTATTCCTGCTAACGTCAGATAGCTTGGTACAGCTCTCCTATTTCCGCCACACCTCTGTGACGATAAATCAGAATAAAAGAGGGCAACAGGTTAGATGAAAGAGTTGTGAATAATATATATTTTTTAAATGTGACGAGATTATTTTGTTTATTATATGTTGTTTGTGGTATTATTATTATTATTTTATTTGTGACACACTTACATTTTATTTGTATTGTTTCAATTTTCAATTGATTTTATTTTTGAAATAAATTTGTCTGACTATCTTTAATATATTATATATATATATATATATATATGATATCATATATTCCAATTGTCATGACCGGTGGCTGATGATAATTCCATTGTCTGAATATTAATACACAGTTGCCTTTTGTTGGGGACAGTGACATTTAACAAAAAAAGTGAAATCTACAATTGTTTTCATGTTCCAACTATTTGGCACTGTAGCAATGTGTTTTTGTGCAACTAGTGACATTCGACTTGTTAGACTTTTACATGAGCTACAACTATAATTTGCCAAGATTAAAAAAGGTTAGAATACAAAACAGTTTTGTAATCAACAGTTTGTGTCCAGTCCTTTTCTTTTCCCACTAACATTCAATAAGAACACAGAAACTGTGAACCAAATAGCTTTTATTATTTAAATCATTAGTGGTTAAGCAATTAAACATTATACAGGAATCAGTTACCAACAAAACAAAAGCAAGGAAACAGTTAAGTATGAACTACATTTTGTGTTCCATTGACATAGGCCTCAGCATAACCGTAATGTTGTTAGTGCTTTGATAGACAATAATCCCCTTTGAATGCCTGAGAAATAAACCGCTGAAAGAATTGTCTTCCACAGTTGTGCATCAAAAAGCTAGAATATTTTATGCTTGTTTACATGTAAGAAGGTCACTTGTTGTTCTGTGAAATCTGTGCAAGCATCAAAATTATTTGGCGCAAGTGGCTGTTCTAAATGCAGAAGAGGTGCAGGCAGCAGAAGGCAAGAGGATCTCTGGAAATTAAATCAAAATGCATGATGATCTGCATCAGCAGTGATTCACAGTATATACAAAAAATACTAACACAAGCAAAACTGTGACGTGTCTGAGCGAGAAAGAAAACTTTGACAGTACAAATACTGTGGCAACTTTGGCACTCAGTTATATAAAACTGTATTTTCTCACAACATTCACAAATGTGTCTGTCTATATGTTAACCCTTTGATAGACTGCTGACCTTCAGTATGCCGGGATAGATTCCAGCCCCCGCTACCTTGAGCAGGACTAGTTTGCATAGGTGGATGGAAATGTATCTTGCTATAAAAATGCAGTTGGAGCAGAACATTCAAGAGTGACAAACATTAGTTCTTGAATTAATTCTTGGAAGGTACTCATGATATACCACCAGTAGTGGCGAATATATAAAACACATTTATACATCTTGTTACAAACAAGTAAATGTGGACAATAAAGGAAAATCTATGTGGAGAACAGTTTGGAGATGTAGAGAAATGCACATTTAACACTTTGGAGCAGAGAAAGTAAGAGTGAAATGACTGGACACTAGGGGTCAGTGTCAGACCACAGCAATAACACACACTTGAAATGAATCTTGTGAATAGACCGAGAGTACACAGCGCTGATAAGAGCCTAAACTGGTTCTACTAGAAGTTAGTGAGACTTGTTGAAAGTATTGGTCCTTATCTCAGTTTATCTATGAAACACATCTTTAAATAGCACATAAGAAGAAAGTTCTCATGAGAATATAATCAAAGTGAATACCACTGGTGAGTGAAATGCAATGGACCTATGAATGAGCTGTCTCTGCCTTGTTTTTTGCAGACCTTCATTTTCATGGGTGCTGGTTATTTGTTGGGAACACTGGCAGTAAAATGTAACATAAGCATGAAACAAGGTGTGCAGAAAGGACAACAATGAGGCTACGTTCTGTCAATAATGGAGAGGACATTATTCTAAATTGTGATCACATACAAAATCATACACACATTTTTAACTGTGAACTCATCAAAACCTTGAAATTACAACAGAATCACTGCGGTTCTAAATAATGACTAAAGTAAGCAGAGCAAGATATAACTTCAGTATTTAAACCGCTGAACAATGAATGGGGTGGAGGGAATAGTTTTGCATCTGCGATATGTAAAATATTTCTAAAACACAAGAAATTTCTGGATAAGCATGGATATATACTCAGTGTATTAATGAATTATTTGGCCATTGGGAATCTGCTACCTACGGCCCATGAGATAATTTTTCTTTACGTTCAACAAATTGAAAATCAGTGGACAGGAGACGAGTCGTATCCATATTCTCATTCCACTAGCTGTGAGTGATTAGCGTCTTGATTTTAAAAAATTAAACAGGAAAAGAAATGCTGACAAATTACATTTTCTTACAATGGGAGTTACAGTGACCCCTCCTAATGCTTTCATTATTGTGTCAGTTCTGCCACTGCCCCACAACAAAGTTATTTCCTGTTTCCTCTTCCCATTTTTTCTTCTTCTTTCCATTTTCATGATCATGTACACCATCCGAACACAAATGGACTCTGAACAACCCTTATGGTGCTTTTGCAAATATGGAAAGGTTTTCAAGTTAAGTAAGTTTTTATTGTGTTGTTTTAAAAAACACAACCTGTAGTCAAATAAAGTAAAAGTAAGTTGTTAAATGATTATTCCGTTTTTTTCTAACTTCAGTTTTATTTCAGTAGTTTTGGCCATCATTCCTATTGGTAATAAAACACTGTTTTGACCAAGTTGACTGGTGAGATCAGGGAATCAGGGAATCAGATTAACCTGAGGAAAAAATTGCTTGCTACTGGGCACCCACTGATTCCCAGTTCCTCCCACTCTCAATGTGTACAGTTTTCCTAAGCCAGAATACTAATTGGCCCTGGCTTTGCTTTTTGGTAACTTTTTGTCCATTTAATGGCAGCACAACTTGCTGTAAACACGACCTTGAAATATCATCACTATATAAATTTGATGTGGCGGACATGTTAGCAAAGAGTTTTCTTTTTCTTTTCTAGCATTCAATTTAGTGTAGTGTTTGTGTTCAATACTCCGATTCGCTCTGGTTGGGGCTCTACCAACCCTTAAGAAAAATATCACACTCTTTAGCTGCTAAATGCTCCACTATGTTCACCAGCTAGTCTCTAACTGTGCCTGTTTGCTGCTTGGTGCTGGGCAAGTAGTGTACATTGGGTTTATCTGAACTTTTTGACTGAAAATAGGTACTTCCTGCTGCTGGAGACTAGATTGATAAGAATGGCTAGACTGAAAGAAAAAGTTGTGGGCTGAAAACCTAAAATGACCACCATAAAGATGTAAGAAACTCTGCACATATCTAAGGGAACTGTAGAGACAGGTGACCTTTCCTAAGTCCAACCCCTTTTTGGGGTGAGTACAAAGTTATCATAACTGATTGGAATAATGGCCAAAATTATAAAAATAAGACCCAAGTTGTAATTATTCTTTAGCGATCTCAATTTATTCTGTTTTTACAAAAGAACCTCAGGGTTGGTGCCAAGGATTTTCTTGGGATCTTGGCAAATTCCTTTATCTAGTCGCTGTCTCTATCTCTGTCTTCATTCTCCTGAAGGACATCTTGGCTGTCTTCCTCTTCATCATCCTCAGCCTCTTCCTCATCGCCTCCACCATTCATCATCTCCATCTCAACCTCAACTGCGCCGTCCTCAACATCCCCATCCACCCCACTGAAGGGCTCAGCATCTTGAGACACCTCCACCATCTCTGTGCCTTGGACCACCTCGACAGTGCCCTCACGGATTTTCTTTACGTGGAAGGTGAAAGGGGGCACCTTGTATACGGCAGTCTTGGACCGGGCATAAACGACATGGTCTGGCGTGAAGGCCTTCTTCATCTTGTCACGGGATGTCTGCATCTTCTGCTTGCGTTCAGGGTTGACACTCATGCGTGTTCCAAGCTTTCCCATTTTCTTCTCAATGTTGTGGCGTGTCTTCTCCAGGTTTTCCTTGGTCTTCTGCTTGGTCTTCTCTAAATTCTCCTTGGTTTTCTGCCTGGTCTTTTCCAGGTTCTCTTTTGTCTTCTGCTTTGTCTTCTCCAGGTTCTCCTTTGTTTTTTGTCTGGTCTTCTCAAGGTTCTCTTTGGTCTTTGCTCTGGTCTTATCCATCTTCTCCTTTGAGAAGACTGTCTTCAGGGTTTGTACACGCTGCAGACTGCTACGCTTGATGCGCTCGGCACGAGACTCCTCTATGGTCTCTTCAATTGCAAACCCTTCCTCATCTGATGAGAGGTCTACATGAGGTTTGTCTTCCTTCTCTTCTTCTCCTCCCTCCTCTCCAGGCTCCTCCGCAGCTTCCTTGAGCTCTAGCAGGCTGCCTCCTCTGCTCCCTGACACAGACTCAGAAACTTTCATGGATTTAGAAACGCTCAGTCTTGAGGGAACCTTCACTTCATCCTGTGGAGAGGAGAACATAAAGAATGTTAATGCTATTTAGTGTGATAGGTATAAGTTTCCCAAAGTTCAGGCAGGAAGCACCTGGCTAAAATGTAAGCTTTACACAGAAAATTTTACAAAATGTCACAATAACTGGAAAATCACAGAGACAATCTGTTTGGAGATATGCATTTCGAACAATTCCAACAGCTAACACATACTATAATTACTTGTAAACTTGATATATTATGGTTTAAATGACCAGGGTTTAGGATTCAGTGGCATTTAGCAGTGAAGTTGCAGATTGCAGCCATTTTC